GTATATATATATATATGTATATTCCCAAGTTTTGTTGCTACGTGATAGCTTAGATTGTGTCGAAAACGCCGCTCCCACCTCACGAGTTTGCGCATCCCCCACGGTGATACCAGTGATTACTGAATATCAAACACTATGGCATTATGCTGCCCTCCAATGGCATAACGTTATGACGAAAAATCTTTATTATCGGTGAAATCGTTCCCTTGTCTCTCGTGGATGGATACGCGACCAATTCAGTGACTGCTTGGATATCTGTTTCGCCCGAATTTCCCTTCCTGAATTGAAAGTAGAATAATATTATACACGAAAATAGGTAAAATGTAGGGCGAAAAATTACCGTCCTGTAATCGAACTGATAATAGAATGTTTTTGTTTCAGTCATGTTAAGAGGTTGGCTGCCCTGTTACTGTGACCTAAATATCTGGTGTACAAAATCCAGGTACGTGTCTTTTCTGGTATGAAGATTTGTTAATAAATAATAAGACGGTGTTATGAGTGTATGTTTACACACATGTATGTACAAGCTCTGAATAATTATCCGCCTGAAAGTATATCTTAAAAGGTTCAGTGTGATAGTGCATATGGTAAGCTTTAATGTGTGTATTATCCTGGACGGGTAATGGCGAGTGCACGAAAGTTTACAGACATGTGTTTCCTCTGTTCCACAACGAAATCGAAGTGTTTTCCCCCTGAACCTTGAAATTAAAGTATGTGTGAAGGAAGAATACACCATAACGTACATTATTGATTTAACGAAAATAAGTGCATATAAGAATAGGGAGTGTGTAGTGAAAGACAATGTGTCATTGAGGTTCTTCCTACACTAATATTGATGATATCGTGTGAAATTTGTACAGTGATTTGCACAAAATATGTTTTAGTGGTTGTGTGGTTAGAGAGTGAACTAGATTTTATGAGTGCATTTATGTTGTGACAGAAAACAGGGTGTAGTTTTGGTATGTAGCCTCTGAATATTAAACTTATGAGTAAGGTATTAGTCAGAGTGATATAGTTTTTTGCATTAGTATAAGTACTTGTAAGAAGAGGGAGCAAAGTGAATTTCTAAAGTTATTTTTTGAAATTATATCTTAGTTCTGTGTGACAGTAAGTGGTGGGTATAATGTGTGTTGTTTTGGTCACAATAATGTAGAGTGTAAATTGAAGTTTAAATTCTCTAATGTGACGTTATAGTCTTGTTTGTAATATATACAGTGATGTGTGGTGAGGTTTTGTAGTGTTTTCAAGAATATTAAGATTTCCATTCGCCCACAATGGATTTACAAGTTTCCCCTTTTATGTACACATCTTTTTTGCATGAAGAATTTTTGCTTATAACAAGGTGGTATGCTAAGTGAAACACATGTTGTCATTGGTGTTATGCTGGCAATCCTGTTCAGTGCCAGTGTAAATTGTGCACAGTGGTGTGTAGAGTATGTGTTATAGCATGAAGAATTATGGCAAGTGATTTGTAAGTTTTATTTTATAGAAATGTGCATTCTATTTTGTGACAACTGTAATCCTCCTTGTGTCTCTAGAAAAGACAATCTCCACATCCGCATGAGAATGTACTCTTGACAGGTTTTATGGAGGATTAAAAATTAAATGAAATGAAATTCAGAAACTCTAAGAGAAGTAGATAATTACATTTATTAAATTATTGTATATTAAAACTGACTGAAAATTCTAAAATTCTTGTTGGTGCTATATATGCTATGTACATGATACTACAATTTGAAGCTGTTCAAAGTTGAGAGATATTCGCTAATTTTGGGAATTTATAAAATTGTCATATATGTATGAATGGTGTTAATTACATCTATTGTCCAAATAAGTCAATATTTCAGAAGTTTGTTGTTTGGAATATATGAAATACATAACTTGGTTCTTGTGGAATATGGCACTTATTTGGACGTCCTCGATGATGTTTACATTCCCTACAGAGAGGACAATACTTTGTAAGATGAGGCACTGACTAAATAATTAACATTAACATTACTACATCTACATCACGAGCCTGAAATACATTTTTTATATATACAAAATATGTAGAATATTCAAATTTGTCAGTGGGAACGCAACAAAATTACATAGTTGTTACTATAGGATTCTGACGATGGTGTATAACACACTGATATGTTGGGATTTTGGACTTTATCCATCGTCCTGGTTTTTAAGATAANACATATCAGTACATAGTCGTTGTTTACATTCCCTACAGAACAGGCAATCTTTTGTAAGATGAGTCACTGACTAATTAACATTAACATTATTACATCAACATCAGGAACCTGATACACATGGTTCTTCTTTAAGTGTAGGTAAGAATGAAGTGGCATTACTTTGTAATTGAAATGGAATGTTCAGGTTATCTGCTTCAACAGGAAACGCTGAGAAGCAGGTTCAACATCAGGATTCAGTGTGGGTAGGAAATTTTGTATAATTTATTTACCTATTTTATTTTTGGTATATTCTGATTTATTATTATGGGTGCATTCCTTCTAATAATTTATTTAACTATTTTAATATTTTTGTTATTGTTCTGTATTATCATTATTGTGGGTGTATTCCTTCTTATTTTTCTCCATATTACTCTGTCCAGTACAGAACTGGTGAACTTGAATATAATATTTCCAATAATCATTGCATTTCCTTAAGATATGTTATTATTTTTGCCAAATAATCCTGTCCAATACTTTAATGGAAGATTAATGTCAGATTTCCAATATTCTGTAAGTTATTATAAAAGGTTAATTAATTGGGTCCAGTGTGACTGATGTCCAGTCACACTGGACAGAATTAATCAGCGGTTTATAATATTATTAGTGTGATGGACCATGATGAAACGAATGAAAATTGTGTAAGATCTGTTATTATATTTGCAATTTTATCTTCTCCAGTACTGAGGTGGAAGATGAATATCATATTTTCAGTATTCTGTAAGATATGTTATTAATTTTGCAATATAATCCTGTCCAGTACTGTAATGGAAGGAATATCAGATTTTCAGTATTTCATAAGATATGTTATTAATTTTTGCCACATAATCCTGTCCAGTACTGTATTGGATAATGAATGTCAGATTTCCAGTACCCTTTAAGATATGTTATTAATTTATGCCACATAAACATGTCCAGTACTGAAGTGGAAGATGAATATCAGATTTCCAGTATTCTGTAAGGTATGTTACTCTTTCCCATACAGATTTCAGTATTCATTGCAGTTCTGTAAGATATGTTGTAATGTTGCCATATAATCCTGTCCAGTACTGAACGTCATTCTAATGAAATTAATAATAAATGAAAACGTCAGTATTATTGCTTGCTATATATAACTTATAATGCTTTGATGTAACTTAAAAAGTACGTTCTATGTGGCTTTCAAGTGTAAGTTGTTACCAAATGTGTGAGGTTAAATAGAAGTATTTGTGATGGAAACAGAATTTTCTTTCAAGTTCCCCACCTTCAAACAAACAAAACAAACTCCGTGACTTGAGTCCGTAAGCGAACTATACCGACCGAGTGACCGCCACTTGTCAGCAAAGTTAGTGCTAACTTTCAATGGATAGAGGGTGTGATATGGCCAGCGCAACGAATCCCCATGGCCGTTAATTTCGGTTTTCTAGACCGAAGCCGCTATTTCCTTCAAATAGCTCCTCAGTTATCCTCATGAGGCTGAGTGGACCCCGTTCCAGACCCACTAATCAGAAAAAATCTGGTAGTGCCGGGAATCTAACCTGGACCTCTGGATCTGTAGCCAGGAACTCTGACCACTAGACCACAGAGCCGGTCTCAGTTCCCCACCTTCAGCTTTCCTAAACACAAGTATTCTATATATGTTATAGTTCACAGTGTCCCAATGCATTTGGGTAAGGAGATGTTGGATTGATATGAATGAAATGTTATGACTTTACAGGCACTGGTGAGAAACTTTCTAATTTTGCATTCCTGGCCCCGTGTGCTGCAGAAGTTCTTACTCCGTTGTGTTTTTTTTAACTGTGTTCGGTATCACTTCACTCATATCCTGTGGAACTGATATGAGTGAAGTGATATTGAACCCAGATCAGAAAAAAAAAACGGAGTTAGAATCTCTGCAGCACAAGAGATGTGATTGCAAAATTATGTATTGCTATTCATGTGAACTGATGGTTCTGAGGGGCCTTTGAGGGGAGGACGCATAGGATGGTATGGTAGCATTCTATTTTATTGATCATGCTGTCGGTGCTGGTGGCCAGTTCTCATTTAGTCAGGGTACGTCTGCGTAGAGTTGGCAGCAGTAATGCAACGTGACGTCACCTAGGCCGTCTGAAGGAGAAAGACCGCGAAACGCTTGCATGCACGCTAGTATTCATACTAATGTATTTGCAGTCGCTGGACATTGTGTGTTGAGGTAACGTGTGTCTGGTGTGAAAGCGGCCTTATATTTTCTGTGTCGGGTTTCGCCATGTCCAACGTTGCGAACATTTTCATTATCATGATTTTTTTTATGACTTCTGCTTGTTACGTGCATAATTTTGTTGTATAATCATATGCGTACTGAAGTTTGAAAGCCATGCGTAAATTGCGAATCGGTGTGCGCCATGGAAAATTGTCAATGGCGCGGAGAACCTTGTTTTTCAGTTTTATTAGATGGATTAGATGGGTGTCTGCCGCAAAGTTTAAGACATTACAGATCTAACGAGTGCTTTGTGAAGGGTTAATTTAATTTTAGGGCTTAATCACTCACTTGTGTGTAGAGAAAGCACACTAATAAATGTTCTGTAGGCCTTCTCCTCGATCTTTTCTATGTGTAATCTTAATGTTACCATGTTGTCAAAGTTTACACCCAGATATTTGGCACTATTTTCAAATGGAATATTTGCCCTTGTTATCGATGGTGATCATTTTTTAAATATATCGAATCTCACACCTAGCAATCGATCCGTAGGTACGATTCGATTACCGGCGTACTGGACATGTTTTAAAATTAATTTGCGGCGTCTGCCGTACGTCAAAATCACTTTGTGTCAATAAAGTGGAAAATGCTGCTTTTAGAAATGATACTTCTTTTATGTATATTATTTATTTTAGGAGTGTATGTTTTGTTGCTGTTAGGTTTCTTTAATGATTTTGACATAAAAGTGATCTCACCACCATTTGGTAGGTTAGTTATTGCCTATAGATATAATGGGCCCACTGTCGAAAACAGTATTGCCCAGTTGTTTCGGTATTGCCAAAATAGTGATACACTGCCACAGTTCAAGACTATAATTATACACTACTATGAAGGACGTAAGCTGACGGTAAGATTTTAACAGGAATGAGAACTTACTTAACGTTTAATTTCAGATATTTTGCGTTAACGTAATTCCATTAGTCTATGTGAGTGGTTTTTCTGAAATTACAAGGTGTTGATGTAGATTAGCTCTTTGCACTTAACCAATTATCAATAGAACCTCCGTCG